GTCTGTCCATGGGCTGACCATGGAACAGCAGAGGTGGCAGAGGCAGGCAGGAACCAGGACACAGAATTCCTTGGACACCGCTTAGAGAGGAATGGTCCTGAGCAGTGGCACCAGGAGCAGCAGTGCTCACTACTAACCCAGCACAGTAACTGATGAGAACACGAAAAAAGCTTAATAATCCAACTACTACCACTAGCTATGGACATGTAATCCCAGGAAATGGTTTTTAAGCAAAAAAAACAACCTCTCAAACTCTCATTGTCTAACTCACTTATAAGTACTTCTTCTATTTTCCATGAGAGACACAAAGGTGATTAAATGGAAAGGGAAGGGGGAAAGCCAGCAATGGACAGGCAATGAATAATGATGGCCTAGGAAAGATGCAAAGGAAGCAAATTCTTCAAGGAAAATGTCCCCACTTCTGTGAGGCTCAAAGAGGCCTTTGGTCAGTCTGCACTGGCCTTTGGATTCCCAGCTTTGGTGTTTCCTACAGCCCTATTTACCACCCTTAGTATCAGGACACACTGCTGCAACAGTCAGAAGAAAATAATGTAGTATCCTGACAGTTATCATCATTTGAATGTTCCAAATTGAACTCTGGCATCTCAAAAATGGAGATTGGATGTTAAAGCATGGATATGTTTTTCCATTTTAAGCCCCAAACAATGCCTAGAAGAAAGCATTTCAGAATAAAGCAGGTAAATGATACACTGCCTAGGAGTAGTCTGTAATTAGCTACCAAACCCACTCAGCACTGTTCCTTGGCCAGGAGAAATCTCGTAAGCCCCTGCTCTGAATTCCATGTGAGTTAGTAGTGTTAGACTGTAATGGCAATGACAAAAGTATTGGTCATAGAGGGGCTGTGCAATTCAGGACCATGCTATACCATTATTCACCCACTTGTACTGTTAGAGAGTATGGCTCTGAGAAGGGTTCTTGCCTTCCAAGTGAGGAAAAATAAGACACATTGGCAAGAATTTTTTTTTATTTGCTTAATCTTTCCTGTTTTTAAAATATTAGGATTTTATGCCTTCTATAAGAAACTGTTCAAACAATGCCCTTACTCAAGATTGTATCCTGACAGGAGACTTACCTTGCCCCCAAGGATTTTGTTTGCCTCTGAATAAGCCTATATGGTATTTCATTCCCCTTTGTCTTTTAAACTGGAAAAAAAACACCTCTTTCTTTCAGCTATCTTCAAGCAAAGCATTATTTGATACATTGCTGTAATCCCACCCCCCTACATTTCAGTCCTGACAGTGCTAGATTCTTCTCTGGTAGATAAGTCTATCAGCTCTTATGTTGCTGTAGCACAGGGACCAGTACCACTCTATCTAGAAGATGCACACAAAGACAGAATAGTCTCACCACCACAGTGATGGCTCCTGGAGATTCACTGCACGACCTTGAGCACACCACTAAGTCTCTTGCCTTGTAGTAAAGGTAACAGGACAGACCATGAAGCTATAGCAAGGCACACAGAACGAGGATGCTCCTTTCAGGTCAGCCAAACCTCTGGAATAATGCTACTGCATGTTGAACAGGTCCCTGCACAGACACTATGAGGTTTCTACCTTCTGCATCCTTTCTCTTCCTCCCCTCCTTCCCACAACATTGCTCTGAGGGCTAATAAGTCCCTTCTAATGAGGTATCAGAGATTTACCTCGGATGCCTCTGAAGATGTAGAAGCAGCACTTGAGGAAAGGACTTTTCTTCCCATTCACAGCTTTGCTCTGTTCTTCCTGGTAGGGCAGTGGATCCTCAATCTCTTCAAAATTCTCATAGGGATTCTCCAGGATAGACTTGGGGTTGTAGATGGTTTGAATTTTCAAGGAGGTAGAAGGAGAGCCATTGTAAACAGGATTGTCCCAGGCTTTCTTCCCCACTGTCTCCAGTTCATGCACCTCCATTACTTGAAAGTGGCTCTCAGCTCTGCTTAGGTGAGACAAACTCATGACTGCTCACTGCCACCAGAAGTACTTTTTAACTGGAATTGCGACAACTGCCTGTCCAGGCTGGAATTAAGTTAGCAGAGAGATAATCAATGCCGAAGAGCTTGTCTGCCTCAGCAGCCAGGAGAGGGCACACCAGCAGCTCCCCACAGAGAGTAAGCATCCTCTCTTTCTTTTATATCAGCTCAGCTGGTGACACCGATCAGAGGGGTGGCACTACCCGTTGTTAGGAACCAATATCAGCCCTATTATCACAGTCACCCTGGGAACACTTGCAGTGAAGGGCCAAAGAGCAGGAGCTCCACGAGTGGCAGCACCCAGGCAGGAGGGAGGCACAGCATCCTCTTCCTTAGCTCATTGTAAAAGCAGGGGTGAAACACGGGAGTAAATGTAGTGGTTGTTTTGGAAACCAGGGTGTGTAATCTTCTGCTTTCACGGTATTTCCATGAGCCCCACAGTGGCTGCCAGTCCTGAGGCAAGCCTGATTAAAACAAACAAACAAAAACAACAGAAAACACAACAAAAGCGAACCAAACAAACAAACCACCAAAACAGCAAACGGGCAACACTGGCAATAACAGTGGCTGGGAGTTGCCTGCATCCACCTTGCCAGTGGCCACCAGCAAGTCCTGCAGATGTGTCACTGTACCCTGAGGGGTCCCAGAGCTTAACCCTGGGATAACACACTAGTTTTGGTGATGAGACTATCAAAGAATGTTTAGCCTGAGCCTTGTCCTTCCTCAGGTCTGACTACATAACTCAGAAGAGGTGCCTCTCTATGGGAACTGAGGGTTGCTGTTTTTCTGGCATTACCCAAGGAAGGAACATGACTCTCACACCTGTAGGCCTGTCTTCTTTGGACTCTAATTATTCATACAGGTGATGTTGTCAAACCAGCTGGGATATGCAGAGATGTCCCCTAGATGTCACCTAAGATCATGGCACTAAGCAGCTGCTTGAACAACAATGAGACAAGATCTAACTTGGCACAGGGCACTAAGAGGGCAGCCTCAGTGGCAGAAAGTCACTGGAGGTCTGGGTTGGATCCTTTGACTGAATTTGGTATTATTAGGGCCTGTTGTGTTTCATTACTCCCTAGCAAGATGAAAGCAGTGGCATGGAAATAGCGGGTTCAGAGGAGGGGAAGCATTTGCAGAGCCCCCAAGCAGCAGCAGTGCTAAGGGATGAGGCCTCAGCAAAGGTCACATGCCAGAGCCAGGCATCCAGTTGCACTCCTGGGACCATACAGCTGGTATCCCTGCCCACGCACAAGCAGTGTGACTTATGCATGGAGCTGCTGCTTTGGGGGAACATAGAGGTTTTTTCATTGTGCCTGTGGCACAGCACCAGTGCACATCCCATCCTATCTTTCAGGGCCCAGGTACAGTGCAGATCCACTGTCTCAGTGGCTGGGGCACAGAGCAGGTGGTGAAAGGGGAGGCGTTGTCCTGTATGGAAAGACCAAGCCACCCACCTTGCCCAGAAGACAGGTCATGTCTGTGTCACCTGATTTTGAAGAGCCTAACACAAGGAAGAACCAAGAGCACTCTATAATTAAGGAAACACGTGCAAAGCTTTACAGGCAGCATGGGGGGTGACTCAATTTATGTGGGTCTAGAAAGCTTCTTTTCAGCCAGTAAACTTGAATGATGGGAGATGTGTCAGCTGGGGGAGAATATGATCCAGACTTTAGGACCTCATAGATCACTCTGCTATGCCCTCCGTGGTGTTTGATGCAAGCTTGTGTGGAGCAGCAGTATTTCCTTGCTATGGAACAGTGTATGTCTGGTAGCATCTGTGAGCACTTACATCTCTTTTCCTTACAGTGTCTTGGGCCTCATTTGCCAAACTTTCATTCTTGTGAAAACAGAATTTCTCTTCTCCATTCTTCTTTGTCCCTTCTTTGTTGAGATCCATTTTTCAGCAGGCCTAGAAGAAACCTTTCAGAGATACCCAGGAAAGACTGTTTCTAAAACCAGAAACCACTATCACAATGGGTTTCAGCATGTTAGGATAAGACAAAGTACCAGAGCCACAGAAGTTTTTCTGTCAGTATGCCAAGCACACAGATCTTTAAATGATATCCCACACTTAATTCCTTTGTGTAAAGAGAAGAGAGCACCAAGGAGTTTGTAAATTCCCCCCAAAAAAGCACTATCAAACACTGAATTAGAGCTAGAAAGCATTTAGATTTCATGGTTAGAAAAAAGTCCTGTCAGTTAATGAAGAGCAGTCACTTGTTGGGACTGAGGTGAGTCTGCTCACCAGACAGGCTCTCCAGGAGCTCACCAGCCACTGCTGAAGTGGCCCTGGCAGGGACACTTTCACCAGCTAGAGGTGATGCTGGGACACCAGTTACAGACCAACTTTCTGTGCTGAATAGAGCTGGTAAAGGACCAAGACAGAAGTATCCCATTCTATAACAGAATCAGTTTCAGCACAGATTTTGAACAATACTTTTAGTTTTCTTCCAGGAGCTTAATCATTGTCACTGAGGTTTAAAGTTCTACAGATGCCTCATTCATGATACAGAAGTTTAGCAGCACACAGTATTCTATAATCACTTTTCACTGCATCTAAAACAAACAAAGAAAGAGACACAACCATGCATAAATAATTCTATAGCCAAGTTCCTGTTTTCTTACTTAGGGTGCTATGTTAATTCTCTTGGCAATAATCCATTTTCAGCTGGTTCTCATCAACACAAGCATTTGGTTCCCACTTCCAGGCAACATGAACAGAGCTAGAGATAGTTGTTATCTCTATGGATTGCATCAGGAACAGAGAAAGGGAAAGTGGTGCTGACAGCACTAATCAACTGTTAAGCATCAGAAATAAAAACCCAGGCTTCCAAGCACAGTAGCTTGGTATTGAGTAAACTGTTTATGACACATTTTGAAAATTTTCCCAGCATAGTGTTCATTCATGTGTTTTTCATTACTTTTCATTTAAATGAAGTCTTCTCTGCCAATCTCTTTTTTTGCATGAGACAGGTGGATTTTATCTTACATTTGAATCTACATTTGAATAATATCGTTCTCATTCTAGTTATGTTCAGAGACGAAGGAATCCAACCATCTCATGAGAGACTTGTTGAGGAACCGGCACAAAAGGTGCTTTCTGCAGACCAAGATGTAAGGACTGCTTCAGTAAGCAACCCTACATGTCTCCAATCTGTCAAGAGAAATCTGCTTGAGGAGGAAAAGGTGAAGAGAGAGTGAAAGACATTTTAGCTAAGGACAGATAGAAATTGACCTATAAAAACTTGTTACCATGATGTACAACTTAGCAATAAGTTTTCATAAACATCTGTACAAAGACATATTTACTCACACACATTTCCTAACGCATTAGAGTGCTGTTGTTACATCCATGTACCCGTGCAGTGGCCTTCAGTGGGGACTTCACTGGCTGGCTGCAAATTCACAGGGACTGTGCAAGTGCAACTCCACTTGAGCAGAAAGAAGCAGGTATAGGACTAAGTTATCAGGTCCCTTACAAGATAATATTGATTTTTCCTCTTTTTAGAATATAGAGCTAAATTTTCTTGATCTCTAAATCCAGTTTTGATTACAAAGAACCTTTACTGTCACTCTGCCGGGTGTTGTTTTCTTAAGGCTTCATTGTGATACATGCAGCTGTTCAGATCCATGTGTGGGCATGTTACCACACACACATGCAGCAAACATGCTCTGTGTTCCTAGGAACTGTCTGGGCCAACTGGCATTGCTGGGAGAAAGTCTGCCTTTGACACACCGTGGGCAGTGATGAGCACCACACCTAAAAAAAAACAGAAGCGCCTGAGGAGGACCAGCTTCAAAACAAACGTTATTTCCTCCTGTGCAATGAAACCAGCTCTGGGGAGGCAACCAACCCACAGTTTACTCCCAGAGGTGACCCACGCTTGTCACAAGTCCGGGAGCTTCCATCAAGGGGTTCAAGGAGTCACTTCTCATAGGCTGGGCTGCTGTCAGGGGCAGGATGTTTGGATACAGGCTGCTCCTTTGACCCAGATTTATCACAGCCAGCAAGAAGAGGGACACACAGTCTATGTCCTGTGGCATATCACAAGCAAACACCTGCCACTGGCCCTACAAAGATAAAGCAGGACTCAGACCAAAGATTTTTTCCCCAATCCAGCTATCTGCCACATGCAAGAGAGTCACTGTATACACAGAGTGCTCACACAGTGTACTCTGTGAACACAGCAGGCTGTGAGCTTGTGTTGAGTAAGTGTGATGAGAAGAAGGAATGCTCATCCCTCTTGGTTTTTAGGGAATGTTGCATTAATATATGGGCTAACATGTAGGGAAAAAAATAGCAGGATGCATCATATGTGAGATTGTATTTTCCATCACCTTTGTTAACAGATGCAAGCATGATGGAGAACTACAGTGCAACACCCAGCTTTCTGTTGGAATAGCATAATTCATAAAATGGGAGACTAGTGAAAGAAGGTCTCTGTTGTGGAATTGTTTCCCTCCTCCAGAACTCGTGTCGCTGCTGGAGTTCCCACTTTTAGATGCACCAGCACTTTTTAATGTATTTATTCTCCAAAGCGTAGGTAAAGCCTGTAGTTTTTTTCGTCTATTCACTGAAATATTGTTTGGTTTCATTAGCTATTATTTATACTTCAGTGCTTTTCATCTACTTACTCCTCAGTTACACACTTATGAGTTTAGTAAAGCACTTAAAGTCCCTATTGTGACCACCTAGGTTTGCTGAGCAGTTCTTAGCATATGGCTACAAACCGGCACAGTGTTGCCCTGTTTGGGAAAGCTCACTTGGAGCATCACTGACCTTTTCTGACTGTTTGGCAGAATCCCAGGAGGACAGCGTTCAGCTCTCTCAGCGATGAGAGACACCACCTCAGACACATGCACCCCTCTCAGCTGGGGCGCGCTGAGCCCCGCGGGATGCCCCAAGGACTGCCAGGGCAGCTTCCATTCCCCCGTGTCCATTCCCCAGAGTCCATTCCCCCGTGTCCATTCCCCAGAGTCCATTCCCCGTGTCCATTCCCCCGTGTCCATTCCCCAGTGTCCATTCCCCAGTGTCCATTCCCCATTGTCCATTCCCCCGTGTCCATTGCCCACTGTCCATTCCCCACTGTCCATTGCCCAGTGTCCATTGCCCACTGTCCATTCCCCACTGTCCATTGCCCAGTGTCCATTGCCCACTGTCCATTCCCCAGTGTCCATTGCCCAGT